ACCTACTCTAACTAACCCCACTGCCCAACAGAAAATGACACAATGAACACAAAACACATACCTTAGACCAGTGGTTGTCAATCCTGGTCCTGGAGTACCACTGCCCTGCATGCTGTAGTGTTTTCCTCACCCTAACGCACCCAGTTCACCTGAGGATGGGCTTGTTAATTAGTTCATTAGTTGTATCAGGTGTGTTGGGCCTTAGAGCAAGAAACAACAACATTAAAAAACGTTACGAGGTTCCACTGCAATATTTATACACATTTTTAAGCAATATATGCTGCTTCTAGACATCTTTTTCAGGGACGTCAATGCTTGTTTCATCGTGACCATGCCAAGGCACATTCTGCATGTGTTACAACAGAATGGCTGTGCAATCAGAGAGTGCAGGTGCTAGACTGGCCTGACTGCCTCTTATTGAAAATGTGTGGCGCATTATGAAACACAAAATACGACAATGAAGGTCCTGTACAATTGGGCAGCCTAAGACTTGTAGAATGGAAAATGACAAAAAATCCCACTGTCAAAACTGGATCAGTTGGCGTCTTCAGTGCCCAAATTGATTATTGAGTAAAAGGTGATGCAACAGAGTGGTAAACATGCTTCTGTCCCAACTTCACATTTGTACATTTAACAAAAAACAAACAAATACAATAAAGCTCATAAGGTAAAATGTCAAATATTGTACTGTTTTCAGTTTAACTCAGTGCAAACAGAATCAGAAACAGAATTTAATAATCACTGCTTTCTGTTTTTATTTCTGTTTCTATCATCATTTCTCATTGAGAAATTGCCTTTACTGAAGAACCCTTGAAGAACCACTTTGGTCAGGGTGTGGACCTGCAGAACCTCCCAGCCTACTGCGTATTTGCCGTAACAGGACTCTCTCTCTCTGCAGATTTGCCGGCTGCAGCAGCATCTATCGGCTGGGGAGCACCAGCAGGACCTGTTCCAGGATCAGCCGCTCATGTTTGTGTCTCCGCTCTCCCAGCCGCCCTGCCGTAGCCTGGTGGAGCTCATTCAGCTATGTGGGGGAAGTGTGTGCCGGAGTATTCGGCAGGCCAGCCTCTGCATCGGGCAGTACAAGGGAAAAAAACCCGAGGGGACCAAGTGTCTCTCAGAGCAGTGGATTTTAGGTGAGCTTTTTCAAATTACATGTGAACCCCCACACCAGCTTTGTCTGTTTGTTTTTTTAACATTCAGTAGCAGCCTTGAATGAGCGGGGGTGCTATTAATATAAATAACATACTAATTGTAATAGTCATCATTAGGAATTAGGAATCATAACAATATAAGCAAATTAAAAAGATATATGTGTAGATTTAGAATCAGTATGTGATGGCATATTTATTATACTCTGGAAAAGCACAGTGTTTGGGCTGCTGCACTAAAATGTCAGTAGTTTATATATTTTGCTGCATTTGTACCCCTAAAAGAAATAAATGCTGATGCTAAGCTAGATAGATTTCATCCCGATTTCTATATTTCATAAATATTTATGTATCAGCACCAGTATATTCAGTGGCAGATATGTATGTGCGTGAAAAGTAATGAATGTCTGTATCGACTCATAATTGTCATATTGGTGCATCTGTGGTTATTATTATCATTATCATCATTATTATTAATAGTAATAGAAGTAGTATTGTTGTTTTGTTGTTTTTGTTCCTGTTATTACAATTTCTATCAATTATTGATTATTTTTAATTATTTGTATCAATTCTATGAATATACATCAGTTGTATTATCATATAATTCTCGTTTTTTATTTACTGTTTGTTTATTATTAACTGAAGAAATGTGTATAAGAGCGCACAGCCTGAAATCTGTTGTTTTTGTTTCTTATCTAGATTCTGTGACGCATCTAGTGCTACTTCCATATGACAACTACGTTTTGGAGTGACCATCGCCTGTGGATCAGACTGTGATACTGTGACGTTTTTATCTCAGTAATATGTTCTCAGCTCATTTTTAATGTCTGGCTATGATGACGTGTTTGTGTGTTTGTATGTTTTAGGACGTTTGTCTGTGTTAAGTTAGTGTATTACTGTGTAAGGCATTGTTAAATAAAACCACAAAATAAGTCAAGTGGTGGTTATTTTGGCTCAGAGCACATTTGGGTTCTTTGGTTGGCCAGAAACGTCTAGAGGGACCATGGCCGGATCTACCATATGGGTGACCTTGGTGACTGCCCAGGGGGCACCCAATGCCCAGGGGCACCAGAAGGTTGCTCCACAGAAGTGCACATTTTAAATTATTTTAATTATGTGTTAACACCTTTTCCGGTCATGAATATTTAGGGTATATTTTGGTTTTTCCATCTGAATTTACATGCCCAAATCGTAAGGCAAATTATTCAGTAACTGCATGAAATTAATGTAAATATTTATTATTTATTTATTTATTTTTTGGTAAAAGCTCCCCTCAAATTAACAGAACGTGTTTTATGATCATACACATGTTGCTATATACTTACAATTTACTGCTAAAAGCCAAAAATCTTAGATGCTCTTTTTATTTTTTTTTATAAAAGTAATTTTTACAGAGCAGATCACTGAAGAGATGCCATCTGTTTATAGTTTATAGCTCAGATTTGTGGAAAAATGGGTCGACTTTCAGTAGAAAAAAAAAAATTGTGAGTTCAGCTTCTTTTATTATAAGGGTTTAAAATTACATCACCCCTCTATTTGACTGTAAAGAAGACAGTTACAGCTCTCATACGACCCCCACCTTTTGAATGTATCTTATGAAATATAAAAGTTATGAAGAATATGACGAAGTGCGTTTTGGAACCACTGGTGGTCTCAAGGAGTTAAAAAGGTTAAAAACATATTTTTGTTACATTTAAATAACAAAACTTTGCTGCTGCCCTCTTATTGGCACACCCAACAAAAGCCTTGACTGAGGAGTTAACTCTGGTTCAGTCTAGAACCAGCTACACTTCAGTGGAACCATCCCAAGATCTATTTCGCAAAAGGTCTTAGGTTATTATCAGTGGGCTTGTGGGGATGGGGCACCATAGCTGTACTGCCCAGGGGGCACCCTAGAATCTTACTCTGGCCCTGAGTGGGACATGAGCTCTGTGCTCTGGTAAGCCATGTGCCACAAATGCTCAAGGTCATAGTACAGTACAGCCACTCTCCTCTGATTCAACTGAGAAAGCACAGACATTCTTGTTATATCATTGAAATCTCGTTCTGCGTTCTTAAAATCTCTAAATAAAGAACAGAAGGTAAAGCTGTGGGTTTTTTTAGTGATATTAGAAACGTTTTGTAGTCGCTGCTGCTGCAACCGCTGCTCTCCACGTGTTCGCCGTAGAACGAAGTAGTGAAGGGGAGTCGATTCCGAAAGAGTCGATTCTTCGACTCCAGCACGTTTGGGAGTCGGAGCCGACTCTCGGCCTGTGACTCTGAGAGTCGAAATGCTTGGAGTTGACTGTTCGAGTCTGCTACGGAAAAACAAAGTTCATTTTCATTATTGGGGCTTCAACAAAGAAGGATTTTAAACTGTACAAAGAACGAAAACAACAACAAAAAAAACAATAGTAAACAATACTTTTCACAGAGCATGTAACTTCAGTTGAGTTCTTTTTTTACCTGCTTATGATTCCTTAAATGGCACTGCAGTTACATTGTATCTGTAGGCTATTTAGATAAATACTGTGTCTCTTAAGGTGGAACATAAAATTCAAATAAGAAACTGGCCAAATCCAGCCTTGTGGAAAGAGGAACATTCAGCTGCTCCGGAATAAAATTCTACTTTAAATTTGGTTAACAAGCCAATAATGTTTTTTTAATCATATTATTTTGTCATTAATCATATTATTTGGTTATTTTCTCAGTACATAATTCCAAGTTTTAGCTAGAGCTCCCTTCAACAGCTATGGTTCTTATATAGCTATGGTTGTTGTATATGGTTCTATATAGAACCTTTTTGAAAAAGGTTCTATACAGAACCACACAACACATTCTCCATCAGTCTGAAGAACCATTTCACCGTACAAAGAACCACTTAAGCTCGCCAATGGTTCTATATAGAACTCATAGAACCCTTGAACCATCTTTATTTAAGAGTGTGCCTTCAGGATAGCTTAATATCTGCTGCTGCATCATCGGCTCAAGGTTTTAAATGAAGTGGAGTCGAGGAGTCGATTCCAGAGGCGAAAGGAGTCGAGAGTCGGAGTCGACTCCGTACCAGCAAACCCGAAACGACTCGCGCTTCACTAGAACGAAGGCGTCGTCCTCGCCGTAGCAACCGTTACCGCAGAAAGTCCTGCTTCAGCCAATCAGCGGCGGCGACACTGCCGTGCGGCTGATGTCACTTCTTGCAACATGGGGTCTGTGGCGGTGACTTCGGCGCAGCGAGAGCGGACAACGAGCTAAACTTAGATTTCGAAAGAAATTTCGGAAGTTTTTCTGTCCGGTTCGAGCCGATTCACAACCTCCGGGCTCCCGAAACCGAACCCCGCGGCGTTATGTGGCCCCGTTAATGAGCTACGCGCTAATTAAGGGTTGCTAGGCTGACTCGGTTTGAAAGCCCGCTTGACGTTACTTTACTAAAGTTAGCATTTAGCTCCGTCTTTAACCGCAGCCTGTATTTTTGCACTTTTCCCGCAAACGACGCGCACATAAGGCAGATAATCTCGCTTCTGTGAAGTAACTGTACGTGTTTGTGTGTTTAGAGGCTTGGTTTGGGACTCGCTAAGTAACTTAGCCAGTGAGTGTAACGTGAAGTTAGACGCAGCAAACCGAAGTGTTTTGATATGAACGGAACGCCTGCAGAAACTTCCGGCACAAGCCCAGTTTCCGTGAAGACGCTCGGTTTTTCGTTCATGTAAGTCAGAAGTCCGGGCCTTTCATGTAGCTGCACACACACCCGTCACTGACACCAGGTTAACTGACACCCCATGCCTGTCAGTCATTAGTCCGCACCGTGGTTAGTCAGCTCCGTTTGCACACCGCCTTTCCAGTCCGTTTTCTGCTCCTGCCCTAAGTTCCAACATGCTGCTGTCCTTGGTCGTGCACACCTACTCTCTGCGGTACTGGTTTCCAGCCGCTGTCATGTTGGGCACTGCCCCGGCTTACCTGCTGTCCTGGGGTGTCTGGCGTCTCCTGTCAACTGTCCTGCCAGCCAGGCTGTACCACAGAGTAGACGACCACATCTACACAGTCTACCAGAGCATGGTCCTCTTCTTCTTCGAGCATTACACTGGTGTCGAGGTGAGAGTCTGCCTTATCCAGAAGCTTCATAGTTTTAAGAACATCTTACCTGTGTTTATCTGCTCCCATTTGACTGTGAGCTTTGTGCCAGGATGCTTTTGGGAAACCCAGCCCAGAGAACTACATTAGGCTCTTATTCCGAAACCCTTTTTAAACTTGTTTGGGTTAAATGGCACAAAATAGCTACATTTTCCACATTTCCAATGATGTTTTGTGTATCAAACACATCACTTTTTAATTTGAGCACATACATAAAATGACAACCAGCAGACATGTTGTGCAACCCCTTTTGTCCTCCACCCACACCTGTCCCAACCCATCTCACCCAGACATAACACACACACACATATACACTGATCAGGCATAGCATTTTGACCACCTCCTTGTTTCTACGCTAATTTTCCATTTTATCAGCTCCACTTACTGTATAGGTGCACTTTGTAGTTCTACAGTTACAGACTGTAGTCCATCTGTTTCTCTGCATACTTTGTTAGCCCCCTTTTACCCTGTTCTTCAGTGGTCAGGACCCCCATGGACCCTCACAGAGCAGGTACTATTTGGGTGGTGGATCATTCTCAGCACTGCAGTAACACTGACGTGGTGGTGGTGTGTTAGTGTGTGTTGTACTGGTCTGAGTGGATCAGACACAGCAGTGCTGCTGAAGTTTTTAAACACCTCAGTGTCGCTGCTGGACTGAGAATAGTCCACCAACCAAAAATATCCAGCCAACAGCGTCCTGTGACCACTGATGAAGGATTAGAGGATGACCAACACAAACTGTGCAGCAGCAGATGAGCAACCGTCTCTGACTTCACATTTACAAGGTGGACTGACAAGGTAGGAGTGTCTAATAGAGTGGACAGTGAGTGGACACAGTGTTTAAAAACTCCAGCAGCACTGCTGTGTCTGATCCACTCAGACCAGCACAACACACACTACCACACCACCACCACGTCAGTGTTACTGCAGTGCTGAGAATGATCCACCACCCAAATAGTACCTGCTCTGTGAGGGTCCGTGGGGGTCCTGACAACTGAAGAACAGGGTAAAAGGGGGCTAACAAAGTATGCAGAGAAACAGATGGACTACAGTCTGTAACTGTAGAACTACAAAGTGCACCTATATAGTAAGGAGGTGGTCATAATGTTATGCCTGATCAATGTATATACACATATATATACACACACTCATACTTCCTCATGATAAAAGCCAGATCTTCACATTATCGGTTCCTTTCAGTCGTATCCTCACTGTAGCTGGATTTGCTCTATTAACTCTAGCTGAAGATAATTCTAAATAAAGGATGTCTTAAAAAGGATTGCAACCAGAGTGTGATTGTAAGAGTGTGAGGTGGAAGCTGGTGCTGAACAGTCATTTTTGGCAGCTGTCAGGCTGTAGTTTGTGTAATCTCTATGCAATAGGAAATGTGGAGCTGTTAATGCTGAGATCATTTCAGTTACCTTATTCCAACAAATAAACACCTCTGGACAATCCCTGAATCTATGCATGAATGCTCTTAAAGTATTATTATTATTACAGAATGTACAGTAGGTGGGAGCTGGTCCCATCAGGTGTCTTTACCACAAAGTTATCATACCAAAGACATCATAATTCTTTTATACACAACAATTTTTAAACTTTTCTTTATCCCTTTAGAACTAAACCAGCGTTTTTTTGCAGTGCCTTTAATACTGGTGCATGAAAACGAGCTGTTTTCTGATTGGCTCATTGGTTCAAGCGCCTCTGGGCTGAAACACTCCTTATAACTTCAGTGTGAGAGGGCTAAAGTAGCTGGCTGAGTGAGGAGCGCCACAGGCGGTGCACATAGTTAGCCATGCTGGGCTAACAGCTAACAGCCAACCCCAAGAGACTGGCTTTTCCTTCCACTCTCTTTTCTCCATGCGAACTCATTAACCTACTACAATCTGATGTCGCTCCTTTGACAATAAACTGGACTGACTTACCTCAAACTCCCGCTCATCGCACAGGTGAGGGAGGGAATCAGCGTGTTTTCAGCTGTTTGAACGTCATGTTATCTGCATTTATTTTCACTACCATATGAAGATAACGACAAAACTAATACCTTAAACAGAATTTCAGCCGGTATACCAGATGAACTGGTATATTGCCAACTACTAGTTTATCCTGTCTGTTCAGTTTCACTGGGAAATGTGTGGAGAGGAAAATCCAACCACTGTTGATGATCTGTGGACATCAGTGAAGAATATATAGGACGTAGTTTATTAAATGATTTTAAAGACTTAGGAAAGTGTGGCAAAGCAGTTTGATGTCTTCAAGACTAAATGACCCACAGAATAATGACAAATTCTATAGTGTGTTTCCTAATTTTCCCACCAGAACTCTAACCCCACCCTCTCCCCCAGTGAGAAATCATGTTTTTGTACCATGTATGACTTAAATTCGTATTGTCGTTTCAGAACTGTATATTTATTTTTTTACACAGTATACTGTAGTGTGATAAAATATATTTATAAAAACACAATTTGAAACCTTATTTGTGTATAAAGGGCTCGTGTAATGGAAAACTGAATTTTGTTTTTTGTTTTAATTAAAGAATTTCAAAATAATACGTAAACATGGTTCATTTCAAAACGTACCGTTCATTCCCCGGTCCACAGTCGATATGAGGAAACTAAGCTGCAAAAACTGTTTAGGCTCATTTCACATATATCAACCTAATTAGCCTACCACAGTTTATCCCCACCCTCATTCACATTGACGTTATAAGGAGTGTTTCAGCTCTGAGTGCTTTTTTAATGAAGCACAACAGCAAATCGGAGCAGAGCTCATTTATCTAAATTTATCTTGTCTTAAAAGCACAGTAACAGAAACAGCCTGTTTAATACTGAGGGCTAAAGAGAGGTTGGAAATGGTCATGTAGAAATGAACGATGACATTTTTGGTTCATAAAACCACAACAGTACAAAGTGGACCTCAAGGGAAAAAAATAAAATACAGGAAAAATGTTGGCCCTTTTAAAAATCCAAACTATTTAAATACGTAAAACTATTTAAATATTTAAATTAGTCTGAGTCTGTGCTCAAATGACATACACTGAAATGACTGAAGCCAGTGGGTTTATGTTCATATCTGTCACAGCTTTACACTTTATAGACATTTTACTACTGCTACCGAGCGTGCTTGTGGTTTGTGTTGGCTAAGACAACAAAATAAAGTTTCGGAGGCAGACATCACTCTAAAAATCGACATTTTAAACAAATGAAGTTGTAAATAAGCTACAGTTATACTAAGAGACTCTCACTGCAGAACTTTACCAGTACGAAGTAATTTAGATCACATGAGCGCAGACCAGCTCAGCAGGGGGACCACCACGGTCACCACAACAGCAGTGTTCTTTATAATGCACATTTTTTAACAAATGTTATCTGTTTTAAAGAACACCTGGCTTCTTTTTGGTACTAAAGCAAGCTTGTTAACTGTAAACACAATGTACGTTCGATAAATGTTTCCATTAATCTTACTACAGATTCTTAACTTTGGCCACAAGATTATTTGGTGTGGTGGCCTGAGTGACTCTGTAGTCGTCCACGGGCCTGAACTCTGGGGAGATGGTAGTTCTTAGTGGGCCGGTAACCTCACTTTAAGTCATAAAAACATAAGTGGAAAATAGATTAACTTAATAATTAAGAATCAAGAAGCGAACGTTTTCAAATTATAAATAATATACGTAAAAATAAAAACATTGCATGTAGTCAGTTTGAGGCACGGGTGCGCAATGCAGACAGTTAGTGAGCCAGAGATGGAGAAGTTTCTCGGGGCGCTTTCACACCCGCCTTGTTAGGTGTGGACCTACCAGACTTTTCCTTTAGCTCGCTCTGTTCTGACATTTGTGAAAACATCACCCCTATTCGTCTCTGCAACAGACAGCTGAACTGTGGTCTGCTTCCACACGAACCCTGGCTTCTGGTGGGAAGCAGTCTATGATGAAGTGAGGGGAGCTTGCTTTCCTCTTCTAGCGACACGTTGGTGCTGTACTGTTAGCGTAATCTGCCTGTTCTGACGTCTCACTCTTTACAGACCCTCGTTTGTTCTTGTTTCTACACCAGAAACTGCTGCAAAATAAAATAATAGTGAAGATATACATTTGATTTTGGCTCATGGATCAGAACGTATTTTTAGCCAAGAATCAGTGACGTGAGTGGTTAAACTCAAATTGATAAACCAGTGACGAAGCAGATATAAAGTAAGGTTAATTACAGGGAGATTCACTCGAAAGAGGCCCCAAATATTCTGTAATAACTCTTGCTAGGATGAAGCAATCTGAACCACACAACATGCAGTGTGCTCTTCAGTATATGGGGCAAGCCGGGATGCCCCTGCGTCGGAGTGATGAGACGAAAAAACAAAAAAAAACGAGGCTCACTTCCAGCATCGCATGTAATGCAATCAATTACACATACATAAAGGTATGTAGCGCACTTTTTTGGTTCAGATTGCTTCATCCTAACGGGAGTTACAACAGAATATTCGGGGCCTCTTTCGAGTGAATGTCCCTGTATTATTTGTTGATCGTGACGACGCTAATCCAGAAGCCCGGTGAGTGGAGTGAAGTTTGGCTATTTCAAATTAATCACAAACAACCTCAAAACTAAAGAGAAATCTCGAGACCAAAGGTCTTGGACTTTTTCAGTGAAAACGTGATGTACTACAGCTCCAAATCACAGTCCACATCTACCTCTTACATTTCTATTCTTTTTGCTTTTTCCCCCCTTTTTTAACATCTATGCAAATATATTTTTTAACGTGATTGCAAATTTTGGGACCTGTGATTGAGCCAAAACGGACGTCCTATCTTGCTGAGGCTCTGATTCTCAGGTTTTTTAGTTTCAGCTCTTAAGATAAGAAAAGAAAAATTAAAAGTTGATTTTAGTTTTTCTGTGGGCCGCTATTCTTTGTATTTATAAACAGGTGGGCCTTGGGATAGAAATGGTTGGGAACCCCTGATCTAGTGTCTACCCTGTGTAGGCTTCAGAACAGAGGCAAAATTGCTTGCAAAGGTGGGGGAACACAATTTTGTATAGAAACCCTAAATGGATAAATGCATCCATTGCGCAAATATATTGAGTTGGTTACAGTATAGAAATATCTGTTACACTACAGACTGAAAACATTCCTTCTAAATTACAGTAGACGTGAACTGCACAATGTAAAGCATACATTCTAAGCTTTTTATACTTTTACGTGGTCAAACATAGTAAGTAATTTATTTGGTACTGCCTCTGTTGCAACATGGATGGCTGTAATGTAGACTATCCTGGCTGACTTGCAGAGCAAGTTCGGTGACCCTCTAACACACTGACACACCTGAAAAGGTGTGAGTTTTAACTGCGCTGCACATCTGATTCGTGAAGTGTTGTTGGACACGGTCAGTCACTGTAGGTTAGAGATATGGTGCTATCGCTGTATCAATAAATCACATTATTTAGGCCCTGACTGATAAGGTGCACACAAGGGTGTGTTCAAAAGGCAGAGTGGATGTGGTGCCAGGTCACAGTCTTTAGCCTGTTGGTTTATGCTGCATTGATCGGCCTCATCCCGGCATATCCAGTCTTTTGTTAATGTGTAATTTTTGTTGGCTAAGATTTTATTTTTAATTGTTGAAAAAATAAGCCATGTTTGCAGGGTTTTGCACTAAAATGGACATGATAGCAAAAAAAGAAGAGTGCAGCTGTTTCATATTTAGATATTATCAAAACTACTTTACAGTTTGTGAAGACTTTGTGAAAGAAGGTAGGAAACTTCACAGGTTAATTAAAATAAATAAACAGCCAATGTTTAGCTGATTCAGGACAGGAATGACATTTGCCCAGTCCAGATCTCTGGCCTTTGGACTTTCATTCTAATGCTCACTGAAGTGCTCAGCTTCATCACATTAAATCTGGAAGGCCGCAGAGTTACAAGCATACTTTACACACTTATAATGGAATGAAAAAAAATAATCGATAAAAAATGTCTGAAAGTAAGTAAACTTTCATAGAACATGGACTGGATATTCCTCATCACTTTCAAGGCAGACACTTTAGAAAATGTTAGAATTTTGAACATATCAAAATAAAGAGAAGTTGTGACAAGTTAAATGAAGAAGAAATTGTAAGAATTTCTGGGTCACTGTTTAAATTTGAACAGGTTTCTGACATGAACTGATAACTGCAGGAAATCAGATTTGGTCAGTAATCCAATCAACGCATTTACATGCACTTGAGTAATCGGATAATGGGGAAACTCTGGGTCTACATGAGTCAGACAGTAATCAGATTTCTGCTGAAGAAAAAAAAATGCGCCACTTTACCTGAAAATATGAACATATATCATCTAGAAGATGAAGAACATTTAAATCCTTTGTTTCGTCAAGCATGTAGTCGCTCCAAAAGTGTTTTGCTGCGCCTCGCGGCGACGCTGCTGCTTTTTTCCGGTATCGCCGTCTGTTTTCGCACATGCGCAGACTGAGAAATCCGAAAGAAATCAGAGTAGTTCACATGCACTGAGAAATCTGATTACTGAGCTAAAATCCAGCCTTTTTATTAGATTTCTTAATCAGATTTCCAGACCTTACTCTAAGAAATCTAAGAAATCGGAGTGTGCTGTTAACATGACCATTTGAATAATCAGATAACTACAGAAATCAAATTATAATTGGAGCACTGAGTGCATGTAAACTCAGTGTTAATGCATTTGCGCAAACAGGTACAAATTTTTCCCATTTCATTCTTTGTCTTATCTCTTCCACTGAAGCTTGTGTTCAGGATTTGATGTACTCATCTGACATTCCAAATGCTAAGAAATTCTGAAATTTATGTAAATATTTAAAATGTTCTACTTTTCTTTCAAATTGTTATACGGATAATATAATTTGTAATGACATGTTTTGTATTAAGTTAGAAAATAATGCAAAATAGAAGCCGTTTAAGTAGTGGTCTCAGACTTTGTATGTACGTGTACAGTTGTGTGCAAAACTTTAAGTGCCTCTGGTCAAATTACATGTTTTGTTGAATTTGTTGACGTTAACACATCCTCTATAGGGAGCAAAATTAAATATGGCATTTCTGCTCATTTTTGTGTTCAATTTCTACTTATTTACTGATTTTCAACAAATGGAGGGGGTATAAAATATAAAATGTGCCCTTTACACAGGCTACATTTGTTTTTTCTCCCCAGTATGTTAAATTCAGCAAATAAAAATTGGGCGTTAAAATGTGCGGAAGTGTGTTCTCTGTAGAGGATGTGCTAACCTATTATCACTTAAGAGATTGGCATGGAATTTAACCAGGGGTGCCCAAACTTTTGCCTAAAACTGTGTGTGTGCTTATGACCCAATGAGTGGTGCTTATTCTGGTCCTGTACCACTGCCCTGCATGTTTCATTGTTCTGCTCTATCACACCAGTTCACCTCAGGAAGGATTTGTTCATTACTTGGCTTTTATTTATTCATTTTTTGTCTCAGGCGTTTCAGGAGCAGAGAAACTCGTAGATGTGTAGGACAGACATCATCCAGGTCCAGGATTGAGAACCACTGGCCTTGAAGAATGGCAGACTTAGACAGAGCAGCCTTACAGCCCTGTGGACTTTTTCATAGTCGTCAGCTGATTTTGGCAGCTATTTAAACATGAATTTCAGAATTTATTAGTATTTGGTACAGTATCTTTTGCTTTAATGACACTCGAGCTGCCATGAACTCCACTATTGTTTTCAGCTGTAATGAATTAGACTGTAACTATCAGTCTTTTTTTCAGCTGATTTAGCAGTACCTTCACATCAAAATGATCACCCCTCGTCAAACAGCACATTTTGTTGATTTTCAAAGTGAAAATAAGCTAAACATCCTCTACAGAGAACACGCACATGTTTATGCACAATTACTATTTTATTTGCTGAATTTTACACATTGGAACAAAATAAACTCCACAAGTTTGCGTAAGAGCCTCTTAATAGATCAGATCCACCTGACAGCTCTCTGAACACGAGCTTCAGTGGAAGAATTAACAAGTGTGACCTTTTTGTACAAAGGCCTTAAAATGGTTGGAGTCACGAATGTGCTTAAATTTAAATAATGACCAAGAAACAGTGCAGAATATTGAAAATTATGTCTTCGTTTGACTTGTCAAGACTTTTCTTTGTTTTCTAAATTCTTCAACTTTCAGTTTATTTCCAGGTTTACATCCCAGCTTTGCAGTGTGGTCTCAGACTTTTGGTCCCCACCATGTATATTTTCTAGTAAATCTTATAAGTAGCCCCTCAGCCTGTGACAATTAACCCTGCCTCTGGGGTCAGATGTAACATTTCCACTCATTTCCACTCTTTTTTCTGTTGAATTGTGCACAAATAGCTCTGTAAACAAAGCTTAATTATTATTATTATTTTGACCTCTTATGCTCGTGGGTATATTTTGGTTTTTCCATCTGAATTTACACGCCCAAATCATAAGGCAAATTGTTCAGTAACTGCATGAAATAAATGTAATTTTTTTTTTTTTTTGTAAAAGCTCCTCAAATGAACAGAAAATATGTTTTATGATCATACACCTATTGCTATATACTCACAATTTACTGTTGAAAACCACAAATCTTAGACGCTCTGTGTATTATTTTATTAAAAATAATTTTTACAGAGCAGATCACTGAAGAGACGCCATCTAAGATCCAGTTTATAGCCCAGATTTGTGGAAAAATGGGTCGACTTTTAGTAGAAAAAGATGAGTTCAGCTTCTTTTATTATAATTAGGGTTTAAAATTACATTACCCATCTATTTGACTGGAAAGGAGACAGTTACAGCTCTCATACGACCCCCACCTTTTGAATGTATCTTATGAAATATGAAAGGTATGAAGTAAAGAATATGACAGTGCGTTTTGGTGGTTCCAAGGACTTAAAAATGTTAACTAATTAACAGTTTCCTAGTTAACCCAGGATCACAGTTAAAGAACACTGATCTCTTTCAGTTTAAAAGTCATGTAGTCTGTTGCTCAGCAAAATGGTGAGTGTCTGTTGCAGATCTGAATCAGGTTATTGGTCAAAAATCTACATTGATGTTGCCCAATCTTGGCCCTTGACTGCTGTGCAGTTTATAGTTTAAGGTCTCCAGGAATTGCGTTGGGAAACACTGGATCTACAGCAGGGTTGTGCAACTCTGGTCCTAGTGGCCTGATGTCCAGCACAGTTTGGTGATTTCGCTGCTCAAAAACAGCTGATTCAACTAATCTGTTAGTTGCCAAGTTAAGTGAAAGTGTTTGAATAGGAAAACTATCAAACAGCTCTGGACACAGGCCCTCCAGGTCAGTGTGTCCCTGATCTACATCAGTGAAATTTAAATTTAGAATAAGCTTCATTTGTTAGTTCTGTTACTCTGTGTAATATTAACTGTGACATCAAGATTTTGGAGGTGACTGCAGAGCGTCAAGCTTTCTTTTGTCATTTAATCATTTATCTCTTTTTCATGTCATGAATAAGTGGTTATCAGTCCAGCCTTTCTGTTTAAGTTCTGACTTTTTACCTCAAAGAGTTTCATTATTGTGATTTCATAAATGCGTGTTTTTTTTTCTTTTTAGTTATGCAGGCAGACTGATTATTGTGTTCTAACGTTAAGTCCTTATTTGTTGGCTCAGATTGTCATTTATGGAGACATACCAAAGAAAAAGGAGAATGTCGTCTATCTTTCCAACCATCAATCCACAGGTAAGTCTGAGTGTAATCAGTTGTAATGAAGTAGATTGCAAAAACCATCAGTAATATGTACGCAGTCTTATTTTTTTCAGTTCAGTTACCAGTACATTCAAATCATATTACAGAGTCGGATGCAAAATTATGGGGCGCCCCGATCAGATTACATGTTTTGTTGCTTTTCTAAGTGAAAATAAGCTAACATGACCTCTACAGAGAATACGTTTGTGCAAGAGCCTCTGAGTAGGTCAGATCTACCTGAGACTCCTCTGAACATGAGCTTCAGTGGAAGAAACAAGACTAAAAAAAACAAGTGTGACCTTGGTCAGTGTCACAAATTTGCTTAAATTTAAATGATGACCACGGAAATAGTACAGAATACTGAAGATTTTTTCTTCACTTGACTTGACACAACTTTTCTGTTATTCAATGTTTTGTAAATTCTACAACTTAAGCCTTGGGTTCACTACACAACTTTTAAAGTCTTAACAAATTATAAAAAGACTGGGCATCTCGCACTGTCTGACTGGTTGGTAATGATTAGGGATCACATAGTACTCAACTTTTAGGCTGTTGCTGAACCGAACGGAGCTCACTTAATGTTGACCATACACTAGAAGACTTTGAAAAGACTTAAAAGTCTGACACCCTCTCACACCTAAAGACAATATCACAGTTTTCAGCCACAGAGTATGATTCTGCAAAGACTGGGAATCTTGCAGGGTCAATATTATCAATACTGCAACTAGATTTTTAAGATTATTTCCCGTCATGCATCTGGTGGGAATTTATAAGCAGAGAAACCCTTTTCCTTCTCCACTCTGTAGGGGTAAAGATGGGAAGATACCTTGGCTGGGCTTGTATAGATCTGGTGCTCAGCCCAGTTCACCGTAGAGCTGTATATTCTGGCAGATCATCACCCAAGATTTTTTAAATGAACCTGTAAAATGTGCAGTTACTTTTTTATTTACCATGATTTACACATCAACAAAACATGCAGCGATTCAGCATTGTTGAATGGGGGATATGAATTAAACCATTAAAAAACAAACATAATTAGAAACCACTGTAACAGAAAGCAGAAAAAGAAAAATGCCTTTAAGTAATGCCATTCTTAAAGTCCTCTGCACATTCCTTACACCACTGTTACACACGCCGTGACACGCGGCCCTGGCACATCACTATTTGCAGGACTTTGCCAAGACTTAAAACTTGCGATAGTATCAAGCACAGTTGATTTTATCGCAGTATCAAGACAAGAAAAATGCTGACTTCAGACAGCCATCCTGACCACCGTACACTAAACAATCGAGATGACGCGACTCTAGCAAGACTCTCATGACTTTATTCCGACATTGGGAATTTTTCTGCGACAGTGAAATTGCTTGACAAGTCGTTTGGTCGGTATAACTCGCGCAAAACCCACATGAACTCATATGTTCTCCTGTTACACAGTAAAAAAAGCAGCAGGAAAAAATGTTTAAGTGAGGCTCATGGATTTAAAACTGATCAGTCTGGTATTTTTGAATGTACACACACTCGATTGTGCCTTGTGCTCATTAAAAAGCTTTCTCTCCACATGTAGTGTAACCCCAGCTTCACACACAAACAAAATAAAACACAAAATGTGCAAAAGTTATGGCACACTTTAGATTTTTTTGTTTTATTTTTTTTCTAATATGTTAAACTCTAAATAGAATAAGTAGGAATTGAAAGTGTTCAGAATTTTGCTTATGACTGTTGCTTTTGGCTCATCCGTGTATTTTTGAATTATCAGTCCTGCCTGTTGATTAGATTCTGTCTATTATAAAATTCTATAAATGAATGAGAAACATGTATTTTATGTATTTATTTGTTTTTTTCTTTGTTTTGGTGACAGCGGATTGGATCATTGCTGACATGCTGGCTATTCGTCAAAATGCACTCGGACATGTACGATATGTTTTAAAAGATGGTCTGAAATGGCTTCCACTGTATGGCTGGTATTTCTCGCAGGTACTGCATGTTTAATTATGGTACTTTTTCTTGCTTAAGTGTAATTTACTTTATACTGTTATTAATCTAGTGAACTGTATTTGCTATGAAATTTCAATGATATCTTTCAATTCTCATTTAAAGCATGGTGGTATATATGTCAAGAGGAGCGCCAAGTTTAATGAAAAGATAATGGGAAGGAAACTCTTGTCTCAGGCTGAGTTAGGAACACCTGTAAGTACGCAACATTTTCTATTAAATACCAGCACATAAGGCTAAATATGCTGTGTACATGAATTGCTTATCTTGAAGAAAACCCTCCTAGTGCACTAAAAGCTCACCACAATTGATTCATGTTGGGATTTCTTGGCTTTCGGCTCTTAAGGTTGCTTTATTGGGTGAAAAGGGTGAGCCCCTTTTCCAGACATTTAAAATGCTTCCTCTGTACGTCTTGATGTCTATATGAAATAAGAGGATTTATTGCCAAATGACTTTTTCCCATGACACTCCTTAAGCCTTCCAGCTGGCTTATAAGACGCTTCTGTCACTTGGCGGGCTGGAGTAAAGTCCTTCACCTCAGTCTTTTTAAGCTGAAGGATTTTTCTGTGCCTGTGATGTTTTACATGTCCAAGTTATGCCCTTAATTGCTAGAAGGCTTTGATTTACGCTTACCTAAAATTGGCATGTCCCACGGTTGCTGTAGACACATAAATACCCTAACAGTACTAAACGCTAAATGCTGTGTTCCACTATGTTTTCCCTACAGATGTATCTTGTTATCTTCCCAGAGGGAACGCGATATAACCCTGACTTTAAGGGAGTGATCAGTGACAGTCAGGCCTTTGCTGCTAAAGAAGGTACCCTCCTCTCTGAGCCATGCTGGGGAAAAAGGACTTTCTCACATAATTTTAGCCCTAACAGTCTTTACTTTATTCAGCAACTATATGGTTCCAAATCACCCCACATCCTCAGCATTGAGATGAATATATATATTAGGGGTGGGAATCTTTAGGCACCCCGCGATCGATTCGATTACGATTCAGAGGGCTGCGATGCGATTATAAAACGATTATCGATGCATCTCGATGCATCTTTTTCTCTATACAGGATTTCTATCTTCCTACTGTCTGAGGACTTGGTAGTTTTAAAGCAAAGTATTTGTAATGATCCATAATGTAAATGGAAGTGATGTGGCAAGTGAACTAGAAGGCTCTCATTCAGAGACGCTGCTGCCACTCATCTGCGATAAAATGCGCTGTTACCCTGAAATAAGATCCAGTGGCAATGGGTGTCCACGCAGCTCGTTACAGCCATACTTCCCTTTTTCTTTAGTCATTTTATAGTTTCGGTTTGGGGGGGGACTGGACGCTGAATCTCGGCTCCAAAGTGTGCAGCATAGCGTGAAAGCCCTGGTTCTCAACATAGCACCGAGGTCTGGCCTCGCCAGTAGCGAACGAAAAAACAGATTAAGACGAACATTTGGAGGACTTATTCGCATTTATAAGCAGCGCGGTTGGTTAAATCTGCACGAGAGACTGTCTTTCTCTAAAAAGTTGCGAAAATGAACTCGCTTCTCTTTCGAATTTTCCCGTTCCACCTTAAATGGTGCAGCAGTTAAATTTGACTTTGCTGAAAGGACAAAACGGCTCTTATCATTTGTGTTGTGACTCCTGATCTAACCTGGCTTTTAATGCAGAAGGAGCCGGTCGGATTTCTCACTCATCCACTGGTGTTTTTGTTATGTGCCACTGCAGACTGTCCGGGCGCTGCACTTACCCACAATATTGCGATGCATCTAAGAATCGAGTTTTTCCCGAACCCCTAATATATATATATGTGTGTGTGTGTGTGTGTGTGTGTGTGTGTGTGTGTGTGTGTGTGTGGGAAATTAAATAAATGAAAGGGTGATCTCTTACTGTTGGTCAGTACTGCATATATAAAATAAATGTAGAGGCATAAGGTTAGTGTAACAGTTCATCTTCAACAATGATGATGTGGGGTGATTTGAAAGAGATGCCTCATATAGTACAAAGTGAAAAGTGTGTGTGTGTGTGTGTGTGTGTGTGTTTATACGGTACTCAAATTGTACTCATTATTGTCAGAAATGCAGATGTGGCTCCCAGCTATGCAAAAGTTTGGCCATCCTTGGTCAAATAACATTTTGTTGATCTGCTAAATGAAAATAAGTGAACACATCCTCTACAGAGAACACACTTCTGCACAGTTTAATGTACAATTGTTCATTTGCTGAATTTAACATAGTGAAAAACATACAACATAAAATGGGGCTTGTGCAAAAGTTATGGCACATCTTATGTTTTACATTCTTAAAATGTGACACTACACTGTGTTAAGCAAATAAATAGACAGTGCACTGAATTTTTTTAAGTTTGAGGATATGTCAACCTGTCCTTACTTATACACTATACTTACTTATACATGGTGATTGGTATAGTGTAGTGGGTAACACCTCTGTCTTCTGTCTTCTATGCTGTGGACTGGGGTTTAATCCCCCATCTGGGTAAACACCCTACACTATACCTATAAGAGTCCTTGGGCAAGACTCCCAACACTTCCTTTGCCTACCTATGTAAAATGACCAAATTGTAAGTCGCTCTGGATAAGAGCGTCTGTTAAATAACGTAAATGTGTCTATGCAATACTTTGAGTCAGTCTGCAAAGCCTAAATGTGTCTATACACTTTTTGTCTTTTATTCGTTGTATTAGCAAAAATCTAGCCTTTATTAAAGGTAAAAAATATTTTCTTAAATCTGTGTGTGCCACTAGATAGACAGGGAGATAGACACATATATACACACACACACACAAACACACACATATATATACATGATTTAATTCCAACATGCATTACAGACCACTTTGAAGAATTTTTGTTTTTCCCTGATGTATGTTGTTGGGGTTCTGTAGTGTGTGTGTGTGTGTGTGTGTGTGTGTGTGTGTGTGTGTGAGAGAGCGACAGAGTCAGGCATGTATATAATATTCCGTAGATATGATTAAAGTTGAATGCAGGGTGAAGCTTTATAATGCTAATTAGAATGGAGCCGCAGTGGGATTCTGTCATGAGTGAATTATGGCGTGTCTACCCAACACACAACAGGATGTGACAGCCAAATAGAAATGTCCTTAGCTTAAAATCCTGTGGTGCTTGGACAGCTTCCAACTGTGATCATATCAATGAACAATTACCTCAGAACTCACTGGTGTAATCAATTGTGTAGTTCTGTAAAGCTGAATTAGATGTTAATGCAGCACCAAACATTTATTCCCGTTGTTTAGTGCCATCAATCATGTCAGACAGTTAGTTAACCTAGCTCATTGCCCTCTTTTATAGTCTCCTCTCCCAACTGATTTATGTGCAAATGTGTGTAATGTAGTTACCAGCATTGTTTTTGAATGTTCTGCTTCTGTGTGAGAGAGAATTGTGCTCTTTGCTTTGCAGATACGACTCTTTTATATCAAAGCTGCATCCAAAAAGTCTTTACAGTAGACTGGAAATGAAGTTGCCTAGTTACCCACTGTTTACATTTGGCTTCCTATGTGTCTTACATAGGTCTTGCTGTACTGAAACACATCCTGACGCCAAGAATGAAAGCATCATATGTAGCCATACAGAGCATGAAGGATCATCTGGACGCAGTTTACGACATCACTGTAGCTTATGAGGGCACAATGACAGCAGATGGCCAAAGACGCACAGCCCCCTCAATGCCAGGTACAGTGATGAAGTTTTTACAATTGCAGCACATACATCATACATTTGCAGTCATTTGTTTATTTATTTATTTTAATTTTTGGCCCCTGATTGGTTCCAGATACTTCAGTATTGAGTGTTGGCTGATATCAATTCAATCCAGTATTTATGCTGTCAAAGATAATACAGCCATGTTATTTAGGTAACATATGCAGGGCTGCTGATTAATGCTGACGTAAAATCATTTTTGATATTTGTTTAGTGGTCTACACTCCAATCTAGTGATTTATCGTTGTTTGTTTTTTACATGGATACTTCTAATATTATTAATAATAATAATAATAATAATGATAATAAACACTAAAAAGTATTATAAATAAAAAATAATAAATAGCAGAAAATGAATATATTAATAATTACAATTAAATAGCACAAGATAAAAGTATAAAAAAAAGAAAAACAATACAATAAAAATGCACCTAACAAGAAAATAAAAGTAAAATTAATATTCCAGTAAAAACAAAGGAAAGAACAAAAAAAATTGTTAAACGCTAAAGTAAAGAAATGCGTTTTTAACTTTTTTTAAAAACACTGACAGAAGGAGCCTGACAGATGTTTATTGGTAACGTGTTCCAGATCTTCGGTACATAAAAACAAAACGCTGCCTCTGCGCTCTTTTTAAATTTCACATGTGGAACATGGAGAAACAGCACTAGATGATTTCAAAGCTTGATTTGGAGCAAAATCTGTCAGCACTCAGAACTGTGTGAAGGTGCTAAACCATTAAGAAATTTAAAAACTAGTAGTAAAACTTTGTAGTCGATTCTAAAGGAAACATTCAGCCAGTGCAGTGATGCTAAAACTGGTCTAATTTGATCTTGTTTAATGGTCTGTGTTAATATTCTTGCTTTGCACAAATTGTAGTTTGTTGGTTGTACTTACAGGATGTTCTATGAGCAAAGCATTGCAGTAGTCGAGTCGAGTGAAATGTCCGTTTTATAGTGCTGTGAATGTCCTACAGTTTCACGATTTTTCTAACACGTGCAAAATTGGCCGCTTCTTTCTCGTTTCTGAACTCACTGTTACTGCTAAACCCAGTTTATAACCAGACGTGGTGCGTTACAGCTGGTAAAGCAGAGTGCCTCATACTCACGTTTTACATGCCCATGTTGTGATGATTGTTGTCAGGCTTAAATGCTATTGAAACAGTGGCATTATTATTTACAGATTTCATTTTCCACTTTAAATAGTTCCACTGATCAGACATTAAGACAGTTTTGTTAAATCCCCAGAAAACCTAAATGTGTGTTCTCTTTCTAAGTGGGATAATCTTGTACAACCTTACATGTACAAAGTATGTGTTGTGAATAATTTGCCGTTGTCAACTTAATGGCCGATGTATTTTGCCAACATTTACATCTCTTGACATAAAATGGGTGGTCCTAATCATTGCTAGCTTCGGCTAGAAGAGCACTATCCTCATCAATCACTAGGCTGATGTGGTTTGTCCAGCCAACACATCTTAAACAACACTGTGCTTCCATTAAGATCTCGTTCTGTCCGTTCAAGTCGGAGTTACAGAGAGACAGCTAACCACCAAGCAAACATAACTGAGCTAGCAAGATTGCCCATTCATCTGTTCATTCGGTCATCAAGCCACACCAGCCTTCCCTAGATGCAGGTCACAAGGTCATTACTGTCTTTTCTTTTCATCACAGATGTGTTGAGAGAAGAACAAAATGCAGTTTCTCCAGGAAAAGGTGCTACATTTTAAGGCCGCAACGATTAGTCGACATAATCGACAACGCCGATTATAAAAATTTGTCGACTTAGAATTTCATCGTCGACGCGTCATTAATTTGTAACTGCAACGCATTACTGGAAGTGCTGGGGGTGATATCGATTCCATTGGCACGACTGAATTCTGTACTAATGAATAACATGATGACAGAGAGAGCGTGAAGAAGGCGAGGTAAAAAAGCGAGACCGAAACTTTCAAAACTATGCCAGCATTTCAGCGAAAATAAACAATTGAAACAAGTCAAATGAAGACACTGTGAAGCAGAGATGTCATTTCACAGCAGCACTACGGTGATGCAAGAGCATCTGAAACGCAAGCACCCTGGGGCCGTGATGTCGAATTCACACTTACTGCGTCTGTGTGGCGTGAGCGACGCGGAAAGCCATGCTTTTCATTTCGGCGCCCAAGCGGTCAGCGCTTTCACACAGGCTGCGCGTGCGAAGCGGCAGATCGTCTCCAGCCCATTTCACACCGGATGTGACGCGGCGTGCATGTTAATCTGAAACCACTCCACGACGCTTGGTATTTCACACCAGACGCAACACACACGCGTTGCGAAACAAGAGCGGTTGCTGTTTGTGTTGTGTTTTCACGTAAAATAAACGTCTACATTGTCCGTTTATCTCATACAAACTTGATGTAGATGACAAAAAGAGATCAACAATAAAAATCTTGACTAGCTTCCTTGACTGTTGCTGGCTTTCTCACCAGGTGATGTAGCTCTATATAAAGAGGAGATGTCTGTGTGTTCACAACATTAACCTACTCAAGGGATTTCAGTCAGCCTGTCAAAGAGTTAAAGCTAGATTTGTTGATTAGCCTAGATTGTATATTATAGGATAGACATTGCATTTCTTTGTTGTTTCTGCATAGAAACTGCTGGCACGCCGCACGCAACAGAAATAGACTCAAAGCGTATTTTTGGGCATCACAAGCGCGTTACCGCCGCGCTGCCCCCTGACGCGTGCAGCCGGTGTGAAAGGCTGCATTGATTAATATAGGAGTGTGTTGCGCTCACGTCATGCGGTGCTGTTACGGCGTCTGGTGTGAAATGGGCTTCAGAAGCTGCACTAAAGCGCCGTGGTGTTTAGAGAATAGACCGGCGCCGATTTTTTTGGGTCACACAGCAAAATACACTAAATAAGCCACGAGAACCAGAAGTCAGAATTCTGCCCAGGACAAGTAATATACCGTGTTCTTTTATAAATTATATCTTTATTGATCAGAGTGACTCATATGGCCGTTTATCCATCTGGAATAAGGAATGTCTGTATGACTTTCTCGCTGCTCCGCCCTGCAGCACAAACGCTGAGTGTATGAAAGACCAGTGAGTTTGAGCTGTAGTGCTCGCGCTGCCGCACCGCTCCCGCCATGCAGAAGCAGCATGTGAGAATCAGGCCTAAAGCCACTAAAAGTGTTTTCTACCACTTCGCTCTTCAGCCAACTATTGTTAGTGTCGTAATGTTTGTTAGTTTACCTGTCGGAAAACAAGGCTCATTGATTGTGCTTGCTAAGAGACACTCTTTCAGTTATGTTTGCTAATGCGTGGGAACATCACCTCAAAGAAGAGAGCCAGCCTCGCGCCAGAGCACGTCAACATGCTCACGTTCCTGCACTGCTATTTAAAGCTTTTGTGAACTATTGCTAATAGTTATTTTGGACTGGAAGAAGTTCTGTTTTTTAATATTTGAAGTCTTATTTGAACCTTTGGACTTCCAGACCCAGCAAGATTTTATATAGGATGGACTTTTTTTTACTTTTACATACTTGAATGTCACTTTAAGCAAATTTATTATATATTTTGCACATTATCTTCGTTTGAAATCCTTCTTGCACTTTAATTTGCATTATTAAATTTGTTTATTTCACTTTTTTTGTCATTACATGTAGTAATGTTACAAATGCATTTAATTAAGCTATCAAGCAGGTGAGACAAAACAGGAACAGGCGCCACGCCCACTGGAAGCAGAGATGGAGGGTGTGATAGAAATAATCGTTCACTAATCAATTAATCGAAAAAATAATCAACAGATTAGTCGACTACCAAAATAATCATTAGTTGCAGCCCTGCACAGCAGTTGCTTGTGTGTTTTTTGTAGTCAATGCACTGATAACTGTAGTATTTAGAAAGGAACAGCAGACTGCCTTGTGCAGCGCCTCTTTTGGATGTGTTCGAAGTCTTGGAGCCTGTTTTCCTTATGTTTCTCCAACTAATGGGCCTTGAGCTTGTTTGGAAGTTCTACCAAGGGAGTGCAGCTACTTCTCCAGCAATAAAGTAAATAGGAACCTTATTTTTTAAGATGTCACCACGTTAAACCTGCATAATGTTTTAGTGAGTGAGTACAGCGGGGTCTACAACACCACCTGTGTATGTAGCACTCGTATCACTTGTTCTTCCTACTTTGCTGGCACTGTTTAGTTCTCTTTCAGTGGTGTTGCAGACTAGGCATGTTAGACTGAGGGCTGTCAATCAAGGGTGCTCATGACAATATTAGGAGCATACCCAGACAGTTATCAGATAGGTCTGATCATTCTTAAGCCATGTTTTATTATATTATATTTCAGTCTTTTTTTTTTTAAACTTAGATATTTAATATAACATGAAATGTTAGCATACTATAAAGGTTTTTGGTGTAAACAGAGTGCTAAGAAACAACAGAGTGGAAGTAGATCAGGCTTTATTTAGCCAATAAAACATACCAGGATCATCTCTGATCCCAGCATCCAGATAGTAGAGATGTCCTGATCCTATTATGTTTACAGGTGATGGTTGTGTTAAAACATCAGAAGCCTTGGCATCTGACGTTTTAGCTCAAATGTAGGTTACTGTACTTTTCTCCCTGCAAAAACACAATTGTTTTGTTTAAGATAATGATGTTTGATGGGATGTCCGGGAGATTTCATGGTATTTCATTAGTCCCCCTCCTTTTTTTATTCATCTTATTTATTTTTTCTAATTATCAATGCGCCTGTTTGCTGGAGAGGTATGTGTTACTGTTTGTCCATTCTAATTACAACAGAGTTACTAGAATACATAAATATGGATTTCCTGTCACTTCCTGTAAACAGCGAGCGGTATGACGTGCTGTTTTTCCAAGCGCTTTGGTGCTCCCAAAAAACATTAAAGCCGTCACTTGTCATGCGAAAAACATCCTGTTTTTCACAGGAATAAACAGCAATGGCATCTAAGTAGCTGTATTGATATTATGACTACATTCTTCACACGTTATTGTAGAAGTGCCTCAGTCATTGCATAAGGGTGAGTCAGGTTCCATGATTTGTTTGTCTGTGCATCCGTATGAATTTGCATTGTATTACTCATTTTAGAAGATTGTCATGAATTTTGTAGAGGTGGTGCTAAAATACTTCAGACTGGTATTTGAACACTGATGTACCACAATGACTTACCGGTTCTACTTCACCGTCCTTTCTAAATATAATCCTAAATATCTTTAGCTGAGCTTACAGTTAGGACAACTATGACTTTGACTAAACCAGTTCTTTGTGGAAATATTTGAGTAAACTATTTTTATGGATGAAGCTGTGTTGTAGTTCTGTGAAATCAAGGAAAGTAAAAGCAGAACTTTTAAATCATGCTCAGGACATGTTCCTTTTCCTCTGAGCTGTTCCTTCTAAACCATGTGTTTTCACAGTAGAAAGACAAACAACCAGACAGTAAAATGCTTTTAAATGGCTGGGAGGACTGCATTTTCCTAAATTTTTGTTATTGATTGAAGACCAATGGTAAAGCAGGATTCAACTGATTTTTCAAAATGTCTGTATAATTAGATTCAGAGTGGTTTGGTGTTAAATGCTCCATTCTAGAGAAAATTACCAGAGTCAGAAATGTTCACAATGGTGGTGATAGGAACCAGACGTCTGAAGAGTTTCAAGCTTCTGAAAGCTCCTTCACAGAAAGTTATTACATAAAATGGTTATGAATATGCCGCCTCATGTCTAAGACATTCTTTTGTGATGGTTTTAGGATAAGCTATTGGCCTAAAATATATGTTTTAATATATAATTTTAATGTCTCATGGTGGAGAGGTACATGTAGGGCACTTTAAGACAAAAACAGTCCCCAAAGAAACTGAAAATATAAATATAGTGGTCTATCATTTTGCCTGACCAATCACAGTGCTCAGTAAAAATATGATGTTTTATTGTCATAAATAAACAGTTGTCAGTATAAAATAACGTTACATTAAATCTATATTGTAACAGATTTTTGGAAGGGGGGTTGGAGGGTGGTCAGGGGTTGGGAGATGGCCAACGGCCCCCTAGCGATAACACCATGGTCCACAGGTTAAATCACTAGTATTTATGGAACTCCCCTTTAAAACTAATTTTCATTGTTGACCTTAACCTCTTGAAGTGATATGAGATGGTATGAGTGGTATGAAATGGTTATGAATATGCTGCCTGATGTCTGAGACATTGTTTTATTGTAGTTTTAAGATGAGCTTTTGGCCTAAATCATATTTTTAATATATTTTTGATGATTCATAGTGGAGAGGTACATGCAGGGCATTGTAAGGTGAAAAAATGGGTTGAGAGATGGCCAAGGTCACCTAGCAGTAACACCAAGGCCCACAGGTTGAATCACTATTTTCCATGGAACTCCCCTTTAAAACTGATTATCATTGTTGACCTAAACCATTTTAGAGATACTTGTTTTTTTACTGTATTAATGTCTAATATATGTTATCAACATATGTTATCAGTTTCTCTTTAACTTGCTTCACTTTGACAGAGTTCCTGTGCAAGGAATGCCCCAGAGTGCATATCTACTTTGAACGAGTGGACATGAGGGAAATTCCTCCAGAGCCAGGCTTCTTCCGCAGGTGGCTGCATGAGAGATTTGAGGTTAAGGATAAGTGAGTAATCCCACTTCCGTTAGCAGCCTTGCCAGTAATATTCTTTCCAGTTTCAGTGCAACAGTAACTGAGATTGCAATGTAGTGTTTGCTTATAATTTATTCCACTGAGATGTATTAAGTTGACATGATCTCAGAAAGTGCTTAACCCTTTCCTTTAGGCTGATGACCACTTTCTATGAGTCTGATGAGCCTGGCAAAAAGTGCAGGTTCCCAGGAGAAGGTCGAGTGTCACCACTTAGCCTGACAAAGACGCTGCCTTCACTCTTGGTTCTGAGTGGCCTCACTGTGCCGATGCTGTTAACCGAACCAGGTAGAAAACTGTATGTCAGAACCTGGATCTGTGGGACTCTTCTTGGGTGGTTGTGGGTCCATATAAGTCCATAAGAGAAAGGAAGCTACTGACCTTCTGCCAACTCATATCAGTGGAGAGATGTTTGGTTTACTGGTTAGATGCTTAAGTTTTCAACCCACTGTGTTCACACATCCTAGGATTTTTGCGCAAAAAAGTGGCTCTTGTAGCTGCGTTCAAAAATTTGGGTACCCCAGTCAAATGACACGTTTTGTTTATTTTCTGAGCAGGAGTAAGTGAACACATCCTCTATAGAGAACACACTTATGTACATTTTGTGACTGTTTATTTGCTGAATTTAACATACTGGGGGGAAAAATCTATGAAATGTCGCCTTAGCGAAAATTATAGCACTTTTTTTAAGTTTTGTTTTTCCCACTTTGTTAGAAATTGTGCACAACAATTAGCAGAAAAATGCAGTATTTAAGTGTCTTCCCTGTAGAGGATGTGTTAACGTATTTTCACTTAGAAAATCTATAAAACGTGATCTGACTGGGGCTGTTTAAACTTTTACATACAACTTTAATAGGTCTAAGCTAGAGATGGCACAACATGGCACAACTGCAGATGCAAAAATTAGATTAGGTACCCTGCCACTATATTTATAATGGTGAAAAGCCCCTTAACACAAAAATTTGCATAAATTTAACTGTGCAGAGTTTGTTTTTCTTTTTAAGGGGGGCATTATTATCAGATTGTGGGTCTTCCAAAACTGCACATGCTCAGGGGCCCCGATTGAAACCTTAAATACTGGTCGATACGGATTTGACATTTCTTCTTTAAATACAACTAAACTTTGAAATGTGCTATTTTTAAAGCTATACTGGTAAGATTTAGGGATTTGGAGACCTCTCTGGTGGAAATGTGTAATTGCATGCAATGTGCAGAAGAACGTTTTGTAACTAGGGTGCTCCAGACCCCTTCCTGAGAGGATGAATCTAAAGATTGCGAGTGTGTTGAGAGAATATTCAGAGAGAACTCAGTCAAAACTTGGATGTGGAATTGTCTGCTGTTGTCATATCTTCATCAGTTAATGTTGGTTTAGCATTTGAGATCTAAACATCGTGTGACATAAAGATGGATGACGTGGTCTGAGAACTCCTGTGAAATCTGACCCGACACCTCTGACTTTTAGATCACTGATTCACTCACCATATTTTAGCCTGTTTTTTGCCGGTAATCTTACATAGTGTAGCTTTAATTGAAGCGCATCTCTTAAGATAAGCATCAAAAAGTAGAGATGTTGATCCTATGATGCTGAAACTACTGTCACTCTTTTAACCCCACAGGAAGAACTACACAGCTAGCAGTGTGAGTGAGTGCTGTTTCAGGATAGATTAGTTACAGGATTGGATCAGATTTTTAATTTTTTTTCCCTCCGATATCCCATCCAGCATTTTCTGCTGATATCAGTTTGATACCGATAACCATCAATACTGATATGCCATCTCTAGTTTATACCTTTAAGGGAAAAAGCACATCGTTTCTTGTCCCTTTTCTTTCATCTCGTTATCTCTGTTGGGTCGTACACATGTGCGTCATGCAGGTTTCCTTACCTTTCACCAGCTCATCTGGAGTATACAATCCTCTTTAATACCATGTAAAGTGGAAAAAAAGAAAGGAAGAGATGTTTAGTTGGGTTATTGGCTCATTTTGTCTTCTGCTTTCCCATAGAGAGAGCACTGTTCAGGTTTTTGTGGCTTTGATTCTGATGGGATTTTGGCAATTATTTTTCTTCTGACATCTCTATTGCTTCATAATGTTGTCTGTATGTTTGGGATCTTGATTGTTTTAATTCTGTTGGTTTTGCATGATTTTTTTATTGTGTTACACATCAAATATGTTTATTATTTCTTTGCTCTAATTAAATCGAAACAGTCCACTGAAGCGGGCTTTTAATTTTACCTGTTTGCACAATTGCTAAATGTATCACAAAATATTGCCAAACTTGCAGGATGTAGGAGTGTTGAGTTTATAAAGTGTAACCTGATTGATGAGAGCGATGTATTGTTGGCGTAAATAATGCATACATGTTTATTAGGTAGAGTGTAATGGGGCATTACAGTGTAACCTGCCTTTAACAGTCAAAGCTAACCCAGTTACCTCTATAGCTATTCAATTATAGTATTTTATTCTCAAAACAAATAAGTATATGCATTGCTTTACTGTATTCTATTTTATTTTGCAAATGTTTTGCTTTTAATGGTTACTGGTGGTTATTTTGTCCCAAAAACATCAACACTGCGCATGAAAATGAAAACTGCAGTTGTTAAGCTGTTCGAATTCAAAGAAAGGCTTGACACAGTGACATTCGATCAACTCTGTACGTGCCTTTAAATCACAGACGTGGACTAGGCAGCCTCAGAGCGTTAACACAATTGCTCTGAACTTCACATGGACTCCCTCTACTGGGCTGCTCTAGCACTTTTTACCAGTATTGCGCAATAGATGCGCTGTTGGTCAGGACGCCATAATACAATTCCATGCCCCCTGCATTACTCATGTAATCTTCTTAGATAATCTGGGCTCTGTTTTAAGTGGAATTCCACATTTTCCAGAATTTCTACATTATGTGATCAATGAAATGTTAAAAAAGTCAGTCAGAGTGGTTTAATGTGAAATAGTTTATTGTAGAGAAACTTACCAACACAGATTTCTTTACAGTGGTGGTGATAGGAACCAGGGGTCGCCATGACTACAACACAAATATAGCCATTTATTTACTATCAAAAACCACCAGTGAACCTACAGGTGCCATCAGAGTTTTATATGTAAATGCTGAAAATGTTAAAATAGTAATTAAAAGCAGATTTACAGCGTACTGTGTGTAATAAAAGCACAATAAAAGCATTTAAATAAGTAAAAAAAACAAATGGCATAAGTACAGAAGTCCGGAGGGGCCATGAGCTGTTGCTATAATTTTCTGGATTGTTATTTTGAGATCACAAGATAGTTAACTCATTATTTCAAGATAACAACTTTTTTGTCTTGATCACAAGATAATTAACTTATCTCAAGATCAAGTCAAGAAGCTTTTATTGTCATTCCATCTATGTACACAGTGGAGTGAAATTACGTTCCTCCAGGGAAGGAGAACATTATATTGAGATCACAAGATTAACATGATAACATTATCTTGAGATCAGAAGATAGTTAACTCATCTCAAGATAACAACTTTGTTGTCTTGAGATTACAAGATAATTAACTCTTCATCTCAAGATAAAAACTTTGTCTTGATCACAAGTTAATCAACTTATCTCATAGTAACTTTCTTATCTTGATCACAAGATAATTAACTTGTTATCTCAAGATAACATTATGTTGAGATCACAAGATAATTAACTTAGCTCATAATAACTATCTTAAGATCACAAGACAGTTAACTCTTCATCTCAAGATAACAACTTTGTTGTTTTGAGATTACAAGATAATTAACTCGTCATCTCAAGATAAAAACTTTGTCTTGATTACAAGATAATCAACTTGTTATAATAACTTTCTTATCTTGATCACAAGATAATTAACTTATCTCAAGATAATAACTTCATCTTGATATCACAAGATAATTAACTTATCTCAAGATAACATTATATTGAGATCACAAGATAATTAACTTAGCTCATAAGAACTTTATCTTGAGATGACAAGATGGTTAACGCTTCATCTCAAGGTAACAACTGTGTTGTCTTGCGATCACAAGAAAGTTAACTTGTTATCTCAAGATAATTCAGAAAATTATATCTACCTCATGGCCTCTCCGGACTTCTGTACACAGGCCTTAACTCAGAACTGTCATAAAACAGTGTGTCAGACATCATTCGGCATTTCTGTGACCACTTTATAGATCCAGCTCTCTGAGGGAGCTTTTAGAGGTCTGGTTCCTGGTTCACCACCACTGTGAACTAATCTGACTTCTCTAGAACAGAGCATTTCACACCAGACCACTCTGAATGACTGATTACAACTTAGCAATTTAAGTATGCAGAGGATTTGCAAAAATGGTAGAAGTCCCTTTTTAAAAAAGTATATGCAAACATTTTAGCTTGTCATTGACAAAATATACCATGTGCAAGTTCATTCTAATGGGAATACGATGTTAAGTCTCTCCTCATGCACAATGCTGACATTTTATGATCTTCAAGCATGGGAATTTCCAAAAATACTCCCCCTCTAGACCAGCAGTGGCACTGTGTATTGATTTAGATTGACTTAAAAGCCTTTGAAACTAAAGCTTCTTGTCTAACTTTGGCCCTACAGTGCTTTACTGTGTAATTGCACTCATACATTGAGTCATGTTGCCCATTATTTATTACTCTCCTCCAGTGAAAATGCCTTTGCAGTTTTTTTTTTCCGATGACATTTTGCTCTGTTCATTGCACTGAACATAAAATGCTTTTATAAGAATTTATTTTCAAATTTCAGCATATTTGCTTTGAAAAACTATTCTACCTGAAAGCTGTCCACAGGGTTCAGATGTCAGATTTAATTTGGACTGTGTGTGCTTTATGGATGTTTTCTGTCATAACCAGTCCAGATTTCTGTTTACTTTTTTTGGATTTGAGTGAGTTCAGTGAGTTGAGATCAATGATTACACAAATGCTACAAGATATAACCAGCATATCCCTGTGTATCACAAGAACATGTTAACTCGATGACCTCTTGTATGTCCACAGATTATAGCGTATGCATGCTGTGTGGTGGTGTGAATGCAAAATGAACTGGTTTTTATTTTTCCACCCATGTTTTCTTTTTTTGAACAAGCACTGAAAACTGATCATTTCTTTTTAAAAAAAAAATTTATAAAATATCTGAAATTGGCGTCTCTATTGTAGCAGCTCTGAAAGTGCAGAAAGGGCTCTCGATCAGTTTTTAAAGGTTATGCATAGATTTTATGGCTCAGTGTTTATCTGTTGTACCTCCTGCTGTCTGTCCTTCATCTAAAAACTTTACCTGGTGATTAAATCTGATTTGCACTGTCCATATCTGGTGGTAGCAGCTGTTCCAGTGTGGATGGACTCTGCTTTTCACTGACACACCGACACAGTGTTGTTGAAATTTCAGGTCTTGGGTCTGAATTGAAATGTCTGCTCTGAAATGTGTTTGTCTAAAAGACGTTTTTTATGGATGCACTGATACGACTTTGGCTGACACAGCGCAAATATACTCAAGCAATCTGGAGTATTTTATTATTACTCTTTAATTAGTAAATTAAGGGAGGTACATATTTGAAATACTGCAAACGACTGGGTGAATATGAATCTCTTGTATACCGTTGTATGCAAACGTTTGGGTGCCCCCGATCAAATTCTATGTTTTGTTGATTTTGAAATGTAAATAAGTGAACACATCCTCTACAGAGACACACTTCTGCACATATTAATACACAATTACTGTTTATTTGCTGAATTTAACATAAAATACAAAATTTGCCAGTATGTTTTTTGTTTTCTCAGTATTTTAATCTCAGCAAATAGACATTTTTTGCATTGAAATGTGCACAAAATAAGTTTGTTCTCTGTAGATGGCATCTTATTTTTGCAAACTTCACAAATTATGTAATTAGAGGTGGTCAAACTTTTGCGTACGACTGTATCTGATACCAGCACATCTCTCATGATCTGTTATCAGCCTTCAAAACATGTTTATCGGTGCATCCTGAGAATTTTTTTGTTTTTTGTCCTCTTTCTGTCCCTGTATGTGGGTTACTGTTCATCATAAATGGTGCCAAATGCTTTAAAGGCGTGTTCAGTTCAGTGGGTCACTGGCTCCAAAAGTAATCAGTGCTTTATTGAAGTATTTTCAGATAAAGCCAGTCAGTTTTTATGAACACATCTGTGTTTAAATGACAACCTTAAACTGTTTTGTAAAGTGAAGACACCACCTTATGGGCAGCAATGGCAGAGGTAATTGCATGAGTATGATTTTTAGGGCATCCATCTTCTAAATAGAAAATTCAGCTAGCCAGTCTTCACTGGACCTATTATTTTTTTCTATTTGTACATTTAAAAGCTATAGTCTGTACTCTGACACCTTATTTATGTTGAGATTTGCTCTCTCCCAGACTCAGTATTCTAGCAATTTTGTGAAAAATAAACATCTATATTGGGTTATTATTCGCTTTGAGCGCCAAAAACATGAAATTAGTGAAACTTGACTCTACACAGCATTTTATGAACTGCACTGAGCACCTTTTTAACGTGTGTTTAAGAAAGCAAATATTTGTTCATACTGAAGATGGAGGCCTTTACATTACTGATAACTGTCTCTCTCTCTTTTTGTCTCTCTCCCTCAATGTCATTGAACTGTGGGACAGTACATGTAAGAGACCGTCACTGAATTTGGTGCTGCGTTTATGCCAGACCTTTAAATACGTGTTGCAGCAGTGTGACTGAAATAGCCATATTAGTGTAAAACAGCTCCTCAACACATATCAGACTGTGTGAGTCAGCCGAAGGCCATATAAATGTATGCTGTCTTTTTTTGCTTTTACCAATAAAACCATGCAATAAATGACTTTCTAATGACACCTTTTTTGTCTGTTAAATTTGTTCATTTCTACACGCATACCAGTGACCGTGCATGGCTGTGAGTGTAATAAAGCATTAGGCCTTCAGGATTGCCTTCATGCTGCTTGTATGTGGGATAATTCTGTAAAATCCCAGACGAGCCCCCAATTCTGTTATGACCCGGTCTAGGATCAGGCTGTAACAGAAAATAAGAGTGGGTTCTCTCCCCAGACCTGCTGCCGGACCAAACACCGGACACTTTTTAACCAGCAAAGCAGCTCAGGTTTATTTTTATAAGATGCTAAGTTAGTAGGGTGATGGCTTCACGGATGAGCATATGCCAAAATAATAAAACAACTAATGATTACAAATCTAACTAAAAATAAAATAAATAAAAATACAGATGGTTACCCTCCCCACATTAAGGCCCAATCCCATTTCTTATTTTTTACCCCTACCCCTTGTTTTTGAGTGTCACCTTGCCCCTCGGAGTCACAAGGGGTAGTGGTTGAAATCTTCCTCTATGAAATGGGACCCTCAGATAAAAAGATCATTACTTCATTAACAGCTACCAGCGCTGCTCTGTAGGCGACCCTGCCAGTCTGCAGTGACAGCAGAGGAGGGTAAAGTTCAGCTCCTCACTGCTGGGCTTTAGTTACATTTAGGGCATCATATGCCTTCAAAGGAGGGGGCAATTATTTATTATCACCCACCCCTAATTCTTCAGTGATATGAAGTCAGATATTTGTTAACTTCTTGTTCAAAATTTTGCTAGCTAGCTTCCGAGACACTGACGTATTAGGGAATTTTATTTTTGTTATAAAGAAAAGGACCATAATGCATTAAAATGACATTAAACTAAGACAATACAGTGGTTATCGTAATTTTAATGGAGAAAATTCTCACAATTGTGGGTTTCTTTGGTCGCTTGCGCAGCCATATTTCTGGTTTTTCTTCTTTTCTCATAACACTCTGTTTGGAGTCTCTGAAAAACCTGCATTTGGAGGGCTATGTAGCCCTAACACTTCGCCCTCCCCCTCTATCTCAACAAAAATTGGGACAGCCTACCCCTAGACGTGAACGTGCAAAACGGAGGGCTCAGGGCAAGGGGAGAAATGGGATTGGACCAAAAAAGAATTCTCATTTCTTTCTACATTTTCTTTTAAAACCAATTATAAAAATGAGTGGCATTCTTGAAAAAAAATGTTCTGAAACATTTGCTTAACTTTCCAACAGCCTCACTTATTTTAGGCTGTAAGAATTGACAGAATTGTTAAAATGAACCAAAGAAGGTTTTTCCTGTTGGCTGTTCGTTGTTCATATTAAACAGAGAAGAAGGGGAGGCATCCGTTATTTATTACAGATGCAAAATTAACTCTCTACTTATTTTACCTGTATTAATTTAGTAAAAACACTAATTCACTTTATAACATTTGTATGGATTTATGTACCAAAAAGTCACAAGTCATTTTAATGACCACTTTCTGGCCTCTGTTTGACCCTTAATTAAATAGGCTGTTTTTGTTACTGTGCCTTTGAGACCTCTGTTCTGATTGGCTGCCTTGTATTGCACCTCATTCAGAAAGCAGTCTGGGTTAAAACACTCCTTATAATGTCAGTGTGAGTGGGTGGAGCTAAACTACTGTAGGGTGAATAGACAGAATTATGTAAATGATCTGGTTTTCATGATGTCACAAAAAACAGTGAATTAACGAGTGTATAGACTGAGGAGTGAACATCACGTCATCTAACTTTGTGTTTACAAACCACATCAAACCATGGAAGAAAGAAGTTATCTTTGTTTAAATCATATACCGTGTATATTTTCTTTAATTCATATACCAAATATTTTTAGCCAAGGCCCTTTGAGTGCGCCCTGGGTACTCAGTTAGACTTGCCCTGGCCGTGACACCTGTATGACCATCCCACCAATGGCTTTTACTTTATTAATGATGAGACTGAAGAGAAAGCCCAGATTTGTCCTTTATGAGCTTTACTGACGAAAAAGTGTTTATACCCCTTTTTCCCTCTTTTTAATGTTAAATCTTAAAGCAAATTAAATAAAAGTTAATCTTAAGGCAAATATTTATTCAGTCAAATATGCTCCAGTACTCGTGTCCAGCTTTTAATGAGTCAGGTCAGTATTGAGTGGAGAACTGATGATCTAAACCACAGATGTAGTCTCTTTCTTTCAGTTTCCCAGTGTAAGCAGTGCATTCTCTGCTCTAACACTTGATTGATTATCAAGCTAATGAGTCTGTATCATCAGGCAGGGCTAAGCTGTGCGGTACTGCAGGACCGAGCTGTGCCCAAAATCACACACTTATAAACAGTCTGCCATAGCAGTAAGATTAGTGTGTGTGAAATCGTAGTGAGATGCCATACAGCAGTCCTGTGAAAGAGTCAGACTGCCCTTCATTTATTTAAACTCCAGTAAAAACAGCCTTTAAGTACGTCATTCATTTCTCAGAACATATTTACGGAAGGCGAAAGTCAAAGGAAAATAAATGAAAAAAACAAGTTTCCCAAACTGTTTACACAGACTGAACTTTGGAGGTGTGAAAAAAAAATCTGCAGATTTCTTTGAGAAACTGAAAGTGAGTCTCCTAAAAAGAATGGAAACTGTAATAAATGTAAAAAGTGACACAATAAATACTGAAAAAAAATTATACTGTATTTAGTTGTTGAGGTAGTTGTCTGTCAAATAACACATTCAAAACTTATATTTAAAAATATTAAGTTAAAATTTTCATTACAAACTCTGGTGCAAATCATCACAGCTGTTTATGCTATTTTTCATATGGCTTTGTGCTACACAAAATGGCAGCACAAAGCACATGAAAGTACTATTATAACCAGGGGTTGTAACACGTGATAGATGGTGGGAGATTGTTTCATTTAGATAAAACCAGTAATGACAAAAAGAAAGAAACACTACTGTAGTGTGATCACTAGTTGATTAGTTACCATAACAGTTATCAAATCATTTCTAGCAACATACAAATAGAAAATAATGCCATTGTAATAGGCAAGAAAACTGAATCTACATACTATGAATGATATTATTATTCCTGTTAATAATATTATTTGTGTTTGTGTTTACTATTGGCATTGCATATCAATATGATAACTGTCACTGTAAAAACACTTTGTTTACATGGTTTTATGTTTTTATTACTGTACAGAAAGTTCAGCGTCCTGATGTTGGTCCCCTACTTGTCAGACCAAATTTGTGTCTGTAATTGAAGATTTTGAAGGGTTCTACAAAATGGGACAAGCTTCTTTACCGTATCGGCCTTCCTCAGCTGCTTTCTGGGGTTTGAGACAGTGTTTTAGTGTTTTCATTGCTTCCAACAAACCTAATCCAACTAATCAGCTCATTAACAACCCCTTACTGAGCTGAAGTGGGTGTGTCAGAGCAGGGAGCCTCCGGGACAAAGGTTGGGAAACATTGCTGTAGGTCTGAGGTTAACCGAAGGAAGTTCTTAAGACAGATGAGAAAAGCAGAGTTTTCCTTCTACATACTTTACAGGAATCAAATGTTTTTGAATTAGTTGTGTAAATAAGTCACTTCTATATTATTTTACTTTCCGATTTGGTGGCTGTAGTACAGTATCATTTTGAAGCATATGAATAACTCAAATTGGGAGCGAGCCACGTTGAAGTACACACAGTAGGGTTAGTTTAACACAATGTTACAACTAAGCTCCCAAACATAAACAATGAATGAACTCAATATCTCACTAATATACATTGAAAGCAGTATTTTTTTGGACATTATATGCACAGATTAATCAAATCAGCTCTACTTTATGGTCAAAAATAAATTTTCTATGCGAGACATAGCATCTTTTCACTTTCCACACACACACACATATACATACACACACTTATATACATACACTATATTGGGACACACCTTCTAATTGTGGAGTTCAGGTGTTTCAGCCACACCCATTGCTATTAAGCACATGGTTTTGCAGTCTCGATACACAAACACTGGCAAAAGAATGGGTCGTACTGATGAGCTCAGTGACTTTAAATATGGCACCGTCATAGGATGTATGTGCATATATATATATATATATATATATATATATATATATATATATATATATATATATATATATATATATGTGTGTGTGTGTATGTATGTATGTATGTATATATATATATATATGTGTGTGTGTATGTATGTATATATATATATATATATATTTATATGTCCTCACTGTCCAATGAAAAACAAGTATCTCCAAAATATTAACTTTACAGAAGGCAAAAACACTCTTACCTTTTAATGTAAGTTAATGTAAATGCTGGTGTGTTGAAATGATGTAGAAAACTATATATATAAATCAATGGAACCATTTTGGTCCATTACTTTTGACTGATTCATCATGAAATCTACATGCAATGTAAAGGACGACATGCATTTTCAAATTATGTAAAAAACTGAAAAACATCAAAAACGGAGAAGTTTTGTTCTGACAGCAGCGTTATGGGTATGGTATAATGTTCCCACTCTTGCCACGTTCGCCTGAATTATTCACAAGCAGTAGGTGCTGGAAACACAGTGTTTGTTTTCATTTGTAGCACTGAAATGTAGGTTGCTTAAAATGTTAAAATATTAAATCTTGCTCGAATACTTTAAAGGCTATTCAGTAAATGCCAATGTGTACTGTGCCCTGCTCGCCTTTACTGGACACAATCCACAGTGCTAGTGCTTGGACCCCGGCATTGCCGATAGGCCGTTACTTCCTTAATGACGTAACGCGAACGCCGTAGCTACGTGACACAGCTCTGATAATATCGGTAGTGCGAATTAACCGAAGCTCGAGTTTTACCTGTTTTCGCTCGTTTTAACGCCTCAGTAACTGCAGATTCCTTTCTGTCCGCCAGAGCTACAAGGTAAGGTGTTTATAGTCTGTCTAGCAGCTACTTAAAGCCAGCTAGCCCGTGTTTTGCTGTAGAAGCTTTCAGTCATTCACTGTAAAACAACACTGACGAACGAGGAGAA